TGGATGAGGTCCACGATGTCGACACTAGCCCGGGCGGGTGCCCACCTCTTGCTGTCCCGGGCAGGCTCCTGAGAGCCGCCAGCCTGGTCCCGGGAAGAGGGGGAGGGCGGGGGGGCATCGGGTGGCTGGCTCGAGCCGTGCCAGGTGCAGGGTCTGCTAGCTGGGTGCTGGCAGGCTTGCACCTTGCATGGGCATCGTAGCCAGCCTGTGCCACTTTAAGGGGTCCGGGGCCGGGAGGGGGGCAGTAGAGTTTCCCTGGTGTTGGCCAGAGTTGCCACCAGGGAAAGCTGGGGAGGGCTAGTCTCCCACTAGTTTGAATTAAGGGGCTACACACCCCTTAATTCGAACTAGTAAGTTTGAACTAGGCTTAGTCCTCGTAGTACGAGGTTTACCTAGTTCGAACTAAGCGCTCCGCTAGTTCGAATTAAGTTCGAGCTAGCGGAGTGCTAGTGTAGCGCCTATCAAAGTTAATTCGAACTAACGTCCATTAGTTCGAATTAACTTTGTAGTGTAGACATACCCTTAGTCACCCTCAGCAGAAAAGCCCATGATTGTCTGAGTTTTGAGTCTGAACATACTGCAGAACCAGCATATAGAAGACTGTATCATAGCTCATCAGAGAATTTTGCCTACCCAGAGCTGCCAATGTTGCCTTAAAACTGACCATTTTAAATGTAAGAACCTCAAATTAGGCATCTAAGCTTATATTTACATATTAAGGCCTTGGTTACTGAAAGTATTTATGTGACTAGCTCCCACTGATTTCAGTTGCACTCAGGTCCTGCTTTTCAAAGAAGCTCAGTATCTGTAGCTTCCATTGACTTCAATGGGATTTGAGAGTCTCTGCCCTTCTGAAAAGTCACCAAAAAATAAAATCTTTATTTTTAGATACTGAGCAGCTCCAGCTTCTATTGAAGTCAATGGCACCTGAGAATCAGGCCACTTTCCGTTAGTAACAAAAATGGACATATGTGCATAGTGTTAGTTTCAAAAAATGGAAAATATCTGTCTAGGTTTCTTTAAAAATTATTCTGAGAGCTTAAGATAATGTGATGTGTTATTTTGTGCTCTTATGTGGACTTTATTTAAAACTAAAAATTGTATATTATTTTTATGAAAGCATTTCAGGAGAAACGAGGCTGTCATCTAGCAAAATATCATGTTCCACAAGCACTAACCATAAACAGGCCTGTGGTAATAACTATGTTTATCATCATGATCAACGGCCATTTTGCAAATTTGCAATCTCACTTCCCTATGTGACAGCTGCAAGACAGAACTCTACTTAAAGTCTTGCTTACAGGCAGCTTTCATTTCATTGGAAGTGTAGAATCCTCTCCTTTTCACTTCCTGTTTCAGACACCTATCAACTACTAGTTGAGAAGCACCTCAGAGTCAGATTCTGTACATTTTTAGTTTCCTGAACTGAAATGTACAAGGTACAATAAATGGAATTGCTGCAAGTAAGCTAGAGAAGCATTTTGAGATAACTTGAATCCTTGTCAGAGGAAGATGGAGAATCCACTGCTTTTATTCCCCCAACTAAACATTTCCTCTTCAAAGGAGAAGAACTATTGCAAAGTTATGAAATCCACAAATAAAGAAGAGGCAAACAAGGAAATCCAGATCACGTAAGTTCCAAGTTTTTTGCTGAGACTCACAAGTGTTGTATGTAGAGAAGGGATTATAACAGCATAGTTGATAAATGTGAATTTAAGGCACCGTTCTTTTCATATTTGTAAGATATTTGTAAAAATTCATGAACGGCAAGACTGAAAATGTACACATAAAATATTCATTTAGTAAGGGAACACTTTTAAGGGCAAGAAAAAGAAGCAAATCAAATAATATATGAAGCAAAATAAATAAGAAAGAAGAATTATTAAAGTGAAGCTTAGAGAAATGTGTTTTTAAAAAATCTGACTAACTCTGATATTTCACCCTTCATTCAGAGCAAACAAGAGAAGACCCTGATCTTTTCTTACACGTTCATCAGCATTAGTTCCACCCCCTCTTCCCCCCCCCCACAAAAAACCCTTCAAAATTAAAAGGGGGGGAAAGTCTGAGAATGAAGTCATTCATTACCCTTTGCAAAAGCTTTAATATGTAAATTAGATGGATAGATATAAGAAGGAAATCCATTAATCTGTATGGCATATACAGAGAAATAGCACCAACATCAGTGTAACTGAATGTATAATGAAATAATCAATTATGCTGAAAAAGAAATTAATCGGAGGTAAACATTTGAAAAAAAAAACATTCACAAAGGTTGCTTTAAAGTTGCTTAAACCCTTTTTCAGGTCTAAGAAAAAAAGAAATAGACTGAGCCTTCTTCTGCAAAAGGCTGAATTCCATGAAAATGTCAATCCTGACAAATCTGAGAATTTGACAAAAGCTTCAAGGTGAGCATTGTAAAATATAAAGAGACTGAGAAATCCTATTAGAAAACTGATGTCTCTTATTCAACAGATTTCATCCATTTATCTGTGTGCATTCAGGTTTTTCACCAAATAATGCTTTTAAAATCTATGTTATTTTAAATTTTAGCATAATGCAATATAAACTAATCTGGGCACATATGCGGTATATATAAAGTGTGCTAATAGTGTTTTTGCATGCACTGGGCCACACAGTGATACTGGTATTTATAGTATCTTAGCCACCAGTAGTCCCCTAGACTTCAAAAGAACTATTTCTTCTATAAAGTATTATTCAGGAAGACTATGATCATATTCAAAGATTTATTTAACTCTCTGATACATCAAGTTTCCCTCAGTTGAGAGAAGGGGAAATGTAGGGATGAAAGTGAATATACTGGCTACCCTTCATATCACTAACGATTTTCATATAATCTAGTCCAGGTGGAATTTGTCCTTGTTTACCTAGTGCCAATGGGCATGTTTATTTGTAGTGTAATGTTCTTTTTTGTATGTAATACTAATTTGCCCTTCGTTTACTCATGTTGATGAGCACCTTAGTTTGCAAGTCACCCCACTGATTGTAAAGTGGCAGGTTCTGGATCTTTTGTAGCTGACAAACATTTATGTTTGCTTGGAAAGCTTGTGATTTTTATGAAATATCTTCTCTGAAATAATTTAATGATAAATGACTCTGTTGACATAAACCACCAAGTTTCCTCTCAAACACTCTAGATGTAAAGTACCAGTGTGCCAGCTGACCTGACATACACTTATCTCCAAATTCAGATACCACCATTTAAAAATCGTGTAGCTGTGTCTATGCTGTACTCTTTTTCCTTACAAATGTAGGGTGAAAACCTGGCTCCAATGAAGCTATTGAGAATTTTGCAATTGACTACACTCAAGCCAGGGTTTCTCTGGTAATTTGTCTGAGCATTGCCTCTGCTGTTGGGAATGTACAGAAGCTCCATGGGCACAAAAGTTCCATTCTTTTCACCACACAGAGTCTCAGAGCATGTAGTAACTTCAGTTTGTTTTTCTCTCCTTGAATTTTAATTTGTATTAACCCTAACCCTGACCAGTTTGGACAGGGACTCAGGCTTCCAGCAGTGAACAACTTGCCAGGGGAAGCTGTCCTTTTCTGAACAGATCATCCTGTTTGAGAGTATTTGACAAAGGTTTTGAATAACTGCTATCTTAACCTTTTAAGCCCATACCGATTGGGAAAATAGAATGAATAGTATCTTTATAGAGGAAGTTCTTGAGACCTAAACTCTGTTTCTGGGCCTGTAATACAGATTGTCATTGGAACTTAAGTCCTTGAATCTGTCCTTCTTGGAGTTTATACTATATTTACTACTCTGATATCCAAGCACCTAACAAATCTAAAGAATAAAGTCCAGCATGTGATCAAATATTCCCGTTTCTCAGAAGAATTGTCAGAGTTGTTTGTTTGTTAGCTGAATTTGGGTAAATGTAGGTTTATGTTTCCTGACGCCTCTTTTTTCCCCTTTGTTGCTGCAGAAGAAATGAAGTTTTCACTTTATTCAGAGATCCAGATTCTGATTAACTGCAGAAGTGGCCAGATGCTTAGTGGAAAACTTCTGCCACTTTTTTGAACTTTCCCTCTTGTACACCTAAAACCATGCAAAGTCTTCGCATAACAGCATGGCTGTGTCTAGACTGGCCAGTTTTTCCACAAAATCAGCTGCTTTTGTGGAAAAACTTGCCAGCTGTCTACACTAGCCGCTTGAATTTCCACAAGAACACTGACGATCTCATGTAAGATTGTCAGTGTTCTTGTGGAAATACTATGCTGCTCCTTTTGTTCAGGCAAAAGCCCTCTTGCACAAATCATTTGCGCAAGAGGGCCAGTGTAAACAGCACAGAACTGTTTTGTGCACGAAAGCCCCGATGGCTAAAATGGCGATTGGGGCTTTTTTGCGCAAAAGCGCCTCTAGATTGGCATGGACGCTTTTCCGCAAAAAGTGCTTTTGCGGAAAAGCATTCGTGCCAATCTAGACGCTCTTTTCCGCAAATGTTTTTAACGGAAAAGTTTTCCGTTAAAAGCATTTGCGGAAAATCATGCCAGTCTAGACGTAGCCCATGAGTTATAGCTTCCAAGCCATCTGCAGCTATTTGCATTTTAGCAGTCATGATTACATGGGTAGTGGATTACAGTTGGGTATCTAATGCAAAGGAGACTGAGGCATCAAATGGTTTTCATGATTTATAGTCAGAATTCCTCCAAACAGGATGATGTCAAAATAGTCATTGATAGTTCTCTGAAGTGTTTCTCTGTTCCTATACATAACCCAATAACCTTGCCTACTTATGGATCAGCCAACTGCTTCACATCCATGTGTTGATCTCAGGCAGAAATGATAGAAATGGTTCTATTCTATGTGAAGTAGAAGGTCAAAGGTAACATTTCAGAATTTAGATGGGATCAGTGTTCTCTGTAAGCTAAGTGCTTGTGCAGCCACTAATGCTAATGCTGCCCAGCTGATTAGCAGAATGTTTCTAAAGGTGGTGCACATCTGCAAATGCTTCTGTGCCAATAACAAAATGTATTCCATAAAGGGGTGGAAAAAATTAGAGAGAACATTGTATGGGATATCTGTGTGTGCAAGAACATTCATCCTTTTGCCTAGTTGCAGATTAAACCTGAGTGACATCCTTTACATGTTTCAGAGGGGTAGCCATGTTAGTCTGTAACTGGAAAAACTTAAAAAACAATGGAGAGTCTTGCTTCACTTTGGAGACTAACAAAAATGTAGATGGTACCATGAGCTCTTACTGCACAACCCACGCCTTTATATGGTTAGCATTTAGTGCCATGTCTCATAGATTTTAAATAGTATGGAGGGAGAGCTTGGACTTATGGAACTCCACAAGTGAATGGTCTGATGGCCATGAAGATGATCATCCCAATAAGCCAACTCAACATTTGACTAACCTGCTATCCTAGAAAATGGCAGAGCTTAACAGATCCTGGTAAATTGAAAGATTCCTTAAAGGCTGATTTTCCTGTTTCTTCCATTATATAATCTCCCTCTTGCACTTCATTCATCTTATGGTCAATTTGTACAAGATTTATTTCTTAGGTGCTTGCACCTCATGGGAATTTTTCTGCTCTTTAGTTGCAATGCCTTTTTCTAGGAAGTTAAGTAATATTTATGACAAATCTTTCTTTAAGTTTTTGGAATAAAAAAGTAGTCATTCTAAAATTCTTCACAATGTGACTGGAATTTCACTTCCTATGGTCTTCCTGAATCCAGAGAATTTTCCAGGGAAGCTAGACTATGTAAGCAAGTATAAAAAGAGATTTAAGTCTGAAAAGGATCAAGCAATTTTAGAAGTCACCTTAGTTTCCCAAGTCAAAAGAAGTTCAAACGCTATTCTCTATTGGAAAGAAATTGGGTCCAGTTCAGTGATGTAGTAGTAAAAAAAAATAAGGGGGACAACTGAACTAAACTCCATATTCCTCAAATGAGAAGTGGGTAACCTAGTTTATCTAAGTTTACTCTTCACTATATTATTGGTCCCAAGTCCCTGGATGGGGAGTCAGGAGATTTGATCTGGTTCTGTTTCCAGTTCTACTACTGACCTATTGTGACACTTTAGGCAAGTTACTCCATCTATTGTGCCCCAGTATTTCCTCTCCAGATAGTGAGACCCACTTTCATTTGTAGATGCTTTTAGAACTACAAAGGAAAGCATCTATGTAATGTGTATGTTGTCTAAATAAATTGGTCACCAGATTAAGATTTAGGGCCAGGTCAGAGTCCTACGACAATGTTCCCTCAGAACCCCCTCAATTTCTTTGTTCAAAAATAAAAGTAGAAACTATCTCTGTGTTCGGATAAAGTGTTACAAAAGTAATTTTACAAACTTTTTTATCAAGAGATATGAAATGGTTTTTCTCTATTGTCCTAAACAGAGGAAAGTTTGAGATCAATGAAGAATACATACAGCTTGACATATTCGATAAAGAATACATAGAGTTTTATAAAAAGAACCCAGTCTCTGAAAATAACATGACATTTGAAAAATGTCTGTGGTAAACAAACCAGGCTACGTGTGTTATTACCTATGAGACTATTGCTTTTACTATACTGCTGTGACTTTGTTTTCAAACTGTAGCATTTCCTGTATTCTGTTAAAAATAGACTATGGGTAACATAACCTCAGACTGATTGCAATCAAAACCATATCTCTGCAAGAGTACACCAGTTTAGCTACTAAGGCTTTCCTTTTTTCAAAGTTAAAAAGGTAGTTCACCAGTTTCTCTGATGATTGTTAACCTTCCAAGATGTAAATTTTCCTCAAAGATTTGGAGTACAGTGCAAACAAACTCTCTAGACACAATGCTCTGCTTTAAATGTTTTATCTAACGAGTGTTATTTCAATAGGCAAAACATCAGAATGAAATAAAGAAAATGCCTTAGAAGTCTCTAGTAGAAAAAACTTCTTTGTAAAATAATCTATCTAACCAGGCACCTTGTAGAATATGACAGAGTGAAAGAAACAGCAGGCAACATATATTACAATAGCTACACAAGTACACAAAACACACTTTATCAGAAATATTTTTTGTGTCTTGTACAGTGTGTCCCCTGAAGAAGCAGTGAAATGGGGTGAATCCTTTGACAAACTGCTTTCCCAGAAAGGTTAGTAGTGTTTTCATTGTTCTGCTTCATGATGAAAAATAACACAATGTAGGCGTGCAATTAAATAGACTTGGCAGTCATCAACATTCAGCAAGATAGGTAACTAATAGCACTGTGAGTTTTTACTCTATTTGTGTACTTAGGCAGTAGCATGCCATAAACCACAGAAAATTAAGAATTTATTTGTAATTTTAAGTTTGGTATTACATTGAACAAGATTAATGTAACCATAAGAAATGCAATGAAGTTTTACTTTAATAAATGGTGAAAAGCTGACAAGATATAAGGAAAGCATTGTTTTGAAACAAATAATGATCTACTCATGAATTAATATTTCATATTGAATACCTGTGGATGAATTAGATAAAATTATTTCCATTTTGATACTGGAATGAATAATTACTTAGAAAAAATTGTACTGAATTTAACAGAGGTCTGCCTTTTCTGCACTGGACTATATTTTTTTAGAGTTAGCCCAGAAAGATCACTATAGTATGATGAGTTGGCAATTGAAAGTCTTCTAGCAACAATCTTACCTGCTATTTTGTGTCTCCCAAAGTAGAACATAAATATATACCAAGCCTAATGGGAGCATACTTTATAGGTTTACATACTCTTTCTTTCTTTTGGCATGTAGTCTTATACCCAATTTTGTGCTAAAAAGTCTTGATATGATTTTATGTATACTGAGGATTACTATTAAATGTGTGGGGCAAGGAGGCAATTATATTAAATTTACAATGGGAAACATATTTACGTAGCAAATTGTTTGGAATTTTTATCAGAATTAAAACCTGAGAACACGCATAATATCTAAGCTTGGGTGAAAACTCAAAGTGATTAATATTTCATCCTTATGCATCACCTTTGGTTTCATCTTGCTGTGTGTACTCAGCCAAGCAGCCCACTGACATTGATAGGGATTACAGCTAAAGACTACAGCAGGGTGACATATTCATTAAGGAAAGTTTTTTTTTTCTAGTTAAATGACTTTTCAGGGGAGTCACTGGTTCTACTGAGCAGACAATCCTTATTTTAGGGTTGTGGTTAAACCACTCAAGTACTCTGTTAACATCAGGATAGCAGAAAAAAGTAGTGGACCTTAGAATGCCAGAAAATCTGGAAATGTCGGGAAATTAACGTAGGACCATCATCACAGGTGACACCGGTAGTGTGCCTTTCAAGACACTTTACAGTAAGTGGTCTGTAACCATACTTTCACAGGCCACTGCTGAGACTACCAAATTCAGGACAAATTGCTGAGAAATAGGGCACATATACCCCAAAAAGTTGTTAAATATTCTGCCAGGAGATATATCAAATAAGCCACAAAAGTAAACTTCTGCCTCACCACACTGGCTAGCAAGAAGTCATAAAAGCAGTTTCTTGAAGTATTCCGTTCCTTGTATCACCCCAAAATTCTGTATTCAGAGATGAGTGATTCTTTACAACTAGACTCATCAAATAAAAGGTTCCTCTTCAAAAAAGAGTTACCTACATTCATGGAGAACAAGTTCATCAATGGCTATTAGCCAGGATGCGCAGGAATGGTGTCCCTAACCTCTGTTTGTCAGAAGCTGGAAATGGGCGACAGGGATGAGATCATTTGATGATTTTCTCTGTGATGATCTGTTCATTTTCTCTGGAGGCACCTAGCATTGGCCACTAATGGAAGACAGGATACTGGGTTAAATGGACATTTGGTCTGACCAAATATGGCTGTTCCTATGTTTTTATGTTCTTCTGATCCCAAAGGATCAGCCACATGCCCCATTCAATATATAACATAGATCTTACCCATAAACCACCCTGTCTTGAATGAAAGAAAGAGTGAAAGAGTTAAAATTGTTAAAGGAATCAAATACATATAGTAATTGCAAAGTTATTGGATTTTAGCAGTGATTAAATAAACTGCTAGCTTAAGTCAAGTTTCCAAATCAGGGTGCATCTACACAGCACCCTAAATCCCAAATAAGATATGCAATTTGCATAGTGCAAATTGCATATCTTATTTTAATTGCATTTTGAAATAGTTAATTTCGAAATTTGGCACATTTACACAGTACCAAATTTCAAAATAACATGTTATTTGGAGACATCTCTTAATACTTGTGGAATGAGGGTTACAGGGATGTCAAAATAACATGTCCGTTATTTCAAAAAATATTTCAAAATAATGAGAGTGTTTCAAAGACATGGGGTAACTATTTTGAGATACTGGAGGTATCCCCAAATAGCCACGCAGTGTAGGCGTAGTCTCAGTGAAAGGTTCTCAGTCCCTTTGTTAGAATGCTCCAATTAGTATAAATCCACAGTCTAGAGACTGAGCAGGATAGAAGTAAAATGTTGTTTCCAGGGTCTTTCATAGTTTCTGCCATGTCAAGGGAAATCCATTGTTCCAAACAAAGCCCTCATCATATCTAGAGGAAAATTACAGGTGAAGGAGGAGTATGGATTCACTTGGGCAAGTCACATGCCCATGTGCAATTTTTGCTTAGTCACAGCAGAAGCCTTTACATACACTGTAGTTTGAATGTTCACAGTAAAGTCCATAAGGTACAAATGGACAAGTTCCATGGTTCAATGGGATCAAAGTGTTTCTTGATGAGTCATTCCTTCACAATGTGCTATCTATATACCTCCTGAGTCTTACCACAGGGGCCAATCATTTGAAGTACAGGTACGCAGCTAATATTCATAATTTCAAATACAAAAATGATACACGCATACAAATAGCATAATCAAATTCAACAAATCATACCCTTTCCATGTTGCATTTTCTATGGTGTTGCCCTGCATGCAACATTTTGTTCAGTGGTTGCAACAATGATTAATATTGTCATATTTTAATTAGATAATGTCATGTGATCAAAAATCAGATGGGTGCATGGCGAATTTTTGCCTTATACATGAGGTTCGATAAGGCACCATGAGGCATTTACAGGCTATAATGGTGGTGTAGAAGGCAAAGTTTGTCCATAGATTTGGCACACTATGAGAGACATGACCAAGGAGTTCTTACCAATGTTTACAACAAATGACATATAGGATGGTTTTTCATTGCAACATTGCTCAAATGCTCACTGAAACCCTGCTAATATCACTATTTAGTGTCTTTGTACAAGACATGTGTCATCTTACGTAGAGCTTGTTCCTGAAACAGTAATATGGGAAAAAGTTGTCAGCCAAACACCTAATTGTCTAATGCCTGAAATTCAAGTTATTGATTGGAGGCCTGTTTCATTTTCTCCCTTTGCTGCACATAGCTAAGATGAGTCTTCCCCAGTACAGTGGTGGCCATTACTATCATTGCAATTTTGTGATTGTAGGTAATTAACAATAATAACATCCTAGTTATTTCTGCACATTAATTCTATTAATAAAGGGACTACCATGAACAACTTGGCAATGATAATTATAGGCAAAGAAAATTGTAAAGATTTTACTAACATTATCTTTTAAACTGTCTTCTCTTGTCTCATTTCTGGGACACAGCCTATTTGTAAATACATTCAAGATTTAAATGACACTTTAGGCATCCTAAATCTGATTGGAATTAAAACTAGGACTTAAATGGTTGAAAATGGCCACACTTTTGGTCACTCCATTTAAGATGTAACCACCTATTTTCTAATTTTTAAAGAGGTTGAGCATCCACGGTTGCTACTGAGATTAACTGGAACTTTGAGTCAGAGTCTTTGAAAATTTGTCACTGGCAAAGAGGCATCCAAAACCAGAGGCCACATTTCAAATTTTGGCCTAAAGCCAACTATCACTGCCTCTGACCTAACTGCAAAGCAATTAAACAGCACTTGTTTTGTGATGTAAAAGTAGATTCCATAATATGAAGTTTCATAAATAGTTTAAAATGAGATCAAATATATGTTGTTACATAATTTAAAAGGTAGAATTGTGTTCTAATATCTAACTGGAGTGGTAATTTAATGCTTCAATTAATTAAAGTAATTCAATGTTTCTTTTAAAAGCCGGATTGGATGCTTTTACAAGGTTTCTGAAAACTGAGTTCAGCGAGGAGAACATTGAGTTTTGGACAGCCTGTGAGGATTATAAGAAGAACAAAACATCTCATCATCTTCTTCCTACAGCCAAGACAATTTATGATACATTCGTAAGGAAGGATGCTCCAAAAGAGGTACAGAATAACTGAAGATACACAGTGCTTGATACAAGCTACATCTGATAGAAGCTGCCTTTCATAAATGCTTCAGTCATAAGCATCATCCATTCAGCCATGAAGGTCAACTTTTGATGAATTTGTAGTAGTTTGTCATGTGGACCCTGCCACTAGAATACTGTACCTTAAATATTAAAAAAAAATGCTTTGGAAGGAAGTATTGAATCCAACCTCTACAAAACATTCTCTTTCTCCCCCTTTGCCCCCGCATAACCTCCATATTATTCATTTAACCCTACAACAATGACAATAGTCATTTGTCAATAACATTAAAAACAATTAGTAGTTCTGTGGCAGCTTATAGTGTGTCTACACAGCAATTTGAGCTACATAAATTGCATATCTTATTTCAATGTTATTTCAAAAAAGCTTATTTCGTCATTTGGTGGTGTCTACAAAACACCAAATTTCAAAATAAAGTGCTATTCTGAAATGTCCCTTGCTCCTTGTAGAATGAGGTTTACAGTGACATCAGAATAGCGAGCCCAAAATAACAGGCTTGCTGTGAAGACGCAGGATACCTATTTCGGAATACTCTGGTATACTGAAATAGCGTTGCAGTGTAGACGTACCCTGAGCATGCAGCTGACTTGAAGATATCAATTGTCCCCAAATTGGAAATAGTTGCGGGTAAGGACAAAGTCACATAACTCAGCCACCAGGTGTGCTGTGGCATACTGACAGCTAGTAATCTATCATCATGTGGAATGTTGGTGTAAAGAGCTTCTGCATCCATGGTTCCTAGGACAGTATTTTCAAGGAGATAACTGATGCTCTGTAGTATCCTCAGAAAGTCAGTGTTGTCTCAAAGGTAGCTCAGAGTGCTAGTAGCATAGGATCTGAGAGAGTCAACATGACCAAATAATCCTGCTGTAAGTGTGCTGATGCCTGAGATGATTGGATGTCCAGGATTTCCAGGTTTTTGGATTTGGGGTAGCAGATAAAATACTTCTGGTTTGGGATGGGGGGGGGTGCTAGTATAGATTTAGTCTTGGGTTGTAGCAGGGTGTTTCATGAGCAGACGGGGTAATTTCTTTTGATATTTCTCAGTGGGATTAGAGGAAAGAACCTGTAGAATGTTGTATTGGTGAGTTATCTGTGAGCCTCCTATTCATAATCCAACCTGTTCATGACGACTCCAGGACCTCCTTTGTCAGCCTTTCTGATGATACTGTTAGACTTGTTTTTGAGGTTGTGGATAGCATAGCATTCTGCATCACTGAGGTTATATGTCACATGATGTTGTTTGTTTACAATGTCAGTCTATGCACATTTGCATCAATGTAAAGTCCAGACTCTCATTTCAATCATTAGGAAGAGTCCACATTGCAGTCTTCCTCTTGTAGGTTAAATATAGGGGAACCTAAGGACCAGAGTGATGTTCAGTGGAGTGTTGGAAATATTTCTTCAGACAAAGGTGGCAAAAATAGCCTTCCATGTCATTTGCCAGTGTTTTGTGTACATTTTACTCTGCTTCCAGAACAGTAGAATTATACTTTGTCTGCTAACCAGCATTAGAGATCAAATTACAACATATAAATATGGCCCATTCATCTTGAGAGACAGTGGTAAGCAGTAGCAGTGACAGTCTATGAGTTGTGCCTGGATCTGCAACTTCTTTCATGGCTTATGCGTCCAATATTGGATTTGCACAGTCGATTACAATAGCTACATGCCATCCGCACATTCCAACTACCAAGCCGGAGGCAAGCTGGCTTATTGTATCGACTGTAGTAGCTGTGTATAGCTGTGTGTGGGTAAGTGTCTTCTCCCGCACGCTGAATTGCCTATGCTAGTATTTGAGGAAAGTGCATTGCCCAAGCAGCACTATCTCCTTCTCGGTCACCCCAATTAGATCCAAAGGAAATACAAAAGCCAGTAAATTAGGAACAGAGGTGACTGCAGGAGATTCTGGAAAAACAGATTGGATGAAACCTCACTGTTAACCGCCTTAGGGTCTCCACTCTGGATTATCTGTCTGGGTTTACTCCCATAGCCTTTGGATCTCCCGAACCTATCCACAAGGCAGTGGAGAATTTTCTGTCAGGGTTCTCTTCCCTGGGGTGACGTAAGGAGTCACTATCCCTTGGATGCTGTGACCAGTCATGGTTCATACGCCCATTGGATTATCCAAAGTAAACCAGGGACCCAAGTATCCCAGACCCTCAACCAACAGAGTGAGAGGGTAGGGCAGCCTTATTTAATAGTGGGCTGCACTTGCCATGTCACATCATCGTCATTGGACACTTGTGACTTTTAGTCAGAGCATCGGATATCACCCAATATCCTATCACACCCTGGTAATATTGACACTACTGGTCCGCAGCTGCATATTCGCACGACAAAGCGCACTTATTTTGCAGCAACCTCTGAAAAGAGGCCCCCTCCTTTCTGCCACCTGGAGACATGCTGGATAGCATGCAGCTCTGCCAACCGGCAACTGATATTAGTATATCAGATAATGTATTTAATATGCCAAATGAATAAAACAAATCAATAAATGAAACATACCCTTCAAGGTAAAAGTTATAATATTTTAAGCAGAGAAAAGACTTGATTAACATAGGTGTGGGACTATTTTTAATTTTTTTAAAGGAATCTCTGAGCAATGAGTCAATACTATGGTATCTTATATTGCTCTGATAGTGTTAAAGGATTTAGAAGGATGGAAATTGTATTAAACTGTCATACTGTTGTAAAAGGTCCTCGTGTAGGACCTTTTACAACCGTATAAATATAAATATAAATTCATGTAAATAAATATAATAATTATTTTCCTTACACTAGTAGGAGGATGGACTGTCTGGAAGATGATAAAATCCCCACTAATGTCAATGGGGGCTTGGCTAAATAATGACTGGAAGATCAGGTCCCTAATGCATCTTTTGTATTTCTATTACTTATACTTTTATATAACAGATTAAGAATAGGTAGATTGACTGTCCTCTTATTTTCTCTGTTCTTTTCTTACTGTTGATAGAGGAAATGCTAAATGTTGGCAATTTGAAAACTCACCTGCTGATGTAATACAGAAAAAAGCATCACTCTTCAGTGTGAGGGAGTGATACAGAGTGGTAAAAATTAAATTAATAATTCCCTCTGTGTGACCTTGTGGATTACCACTCTCCCTTAAGGGCAGAGGACCTATTTGTTTGGTTTACTCTCAGGCTTGGTCTTCACTACAGTGGGAGGTAGACTTAAGATACACAACTCCAGCTATGTAAATTACAAAGCTGGAGCTGACTTATTTTAAGTCTCATTTCCATGCCGTCCACACAGCAGGAGGTCGATAGAAGGAAACATTCTCATCAGCTTCCCTTACTCTTTGTAAGGAGCAGGAGTACTGGTGCCAACAGGGGTGCCCTCTGAGTTTGATTTAGTGAGTCTTTACTAGACCCATTAAATCAAATCTGGAAGATTGACTGTGGCAATGTCAATCTTCTCTCCATGGTGTAGACATGGCCTCAAAGAGTAATGGCCCAGTTCCATGAAATGCTGAGTGATTTCAATACCCTTTTACATTCTATTATATGACACTTTGCAGGATCAGGCCCTGATTGAATTTGGAGAGTTTTAAATTATCTGAAGCAGAATACTATTTTGCCAGCATACCATTCTACCAACAGTTTGGGCTGACAACAAACTGTAACAAGAACTATTGATACAACATTCCAAAAACTATTCCAAAAACATGATCTGGTTAATTCAAAAGATATAGAGCCTTGACCTTGCAAGACTGGTTCTTGATTTCTGTTGGCTTCAATGGGAAGTCAGCAAGCTGTGTACTTTGCAGGACAGTGTCACTGTCACAGCAAAGGTACAGTGGGCACCATTAGAAAATTGACTCTAAATAAAAGGTACCACCCAGAAGTGATATCTTTGATTATCAACTTTCCCCTGTTTTTTGTAGCGATCTGTGGTGCTTCTTCAGTAGCCATTAACATATGATGACTCAGTGGATTTCACAATATTTATATCCATATCCATCTGGATCTGAAATATCAAACATTTTTAGAAGAGTATGGTTTTCACAAGTTAAATATTAGTGGTATTAATGGCAGTATATCAAGAGAATTAATGCCCTTTTTGCCCTTTTTCCAGGTTAACCTTGACTTTCACACTAAAGAATTCACTGCTCAGAATATTATTCACCCCACACTCAACAGCTTTGATGCAGCACAGGCCAAAGTCTACAGGCTGATGGAACAAGACAGTTACCCACGCTTCCTGAGATCAGACATGTATTTAGACCTGATTAAGGGGAGACAGCCTCATCATCCTGCTCTTAGAAGGCGATCACGCTCTTTTACCTTCAATGAATTCCAGGATGTGCAAACAGACTTTACCATTTGGTTATAGAGAAATTTATCCTCATTGGATTCTATGTAGCAAATTGTAATACACAGCATCCTAAACACAAACCTTCAGATTCTGCACATGGACGTGGATCCATTGACTTCAATTGTGTACATCTATTTACTCCACTGAAGTACCTGGCTCAAAAAAAAAAAATGTAGCCAGAGATTGATTAACTTAACTTATTGTAAAGAGATATGCAGCATATTTATAAGATGTATTAGATGTGGCAAGATGTATGAGATGTAATGAACTCATACAAGAGATTATGTCTTTGAAACTCAACTAGGAAAATGTAAGCATTCTTTTCACCAAATCATACCTGACAGTGATAACTATCTGAAACACTGTTCTAAAAACATTTCCACAATTCTATCTCTCTCCTGGGTCCATTATATTTAAAATACACAATGGTGTCACCTTAAAAGTCTTTACATTCATCATTTGCACATAGTTAACATTACTGCAATAGTTCCTACACTAAGCATAGTTTTTGTGGTATTTCCATGTACCACAAGCACACAGAAACATTAATTAGGCAAATGGACAGAATATCATGATTTTTACTTTTAGTTCCTATATAACCAAAGAACTTTAACCATTGCATATATTAAGAGGTTCTCTTTACTATGAGAGCCTCTGACTTTTACTGGGAGGATCCTTTGTGCTTCAGTCTAACCCTAGAGTCTACAACTCCCATAAACCCCTGTGGAAAAAGGAGAGAAAAAATCTCTGCTCCCTTCCAGGCATGGAGAGAGAGGGTAAGGGGAGGCTTCATTTTAGAGTGAGGAGCCAGATTGCTGGTCTGGAGCCTTTTCTAGGCCAGGAGCTGTGTTGAAGCTAGAACCTGTTACTGAGATCCTGCTGGGGCTTGGATCTAGAAGATTGCTTCAGGGGTTGGTGGTGATTGTCTCTGGAGGGGAAAGACCCTGGCTGTGCCTGTGGCTGAGAAGGGCCTGCATAGAAGGTAACTGTAAGTAACTGTGGCTCTCTGGGAAAATGCAGCCTGGGATGGAGCACAGTAGACACTGTCTCTGGGTCCAAAGAGAGCCAGAGTGACCAGCCCAATGAACCAGAGCTGCTGGCAGTTTATGCAGCCTGCTCCAGTGGCAGAGGGATTTTGCAGCTGGCTACTTTCTTGGACTAACACACAACCTGCACAATGCTGTTTCCACTCCAGTTGCAGACTTTCAAGTGCGCCCACGCATGCAAGTGTATCCAGAGGAGGGCACACTTTTGGGAGGGATGAATGGTAGCAGTTTAAATGCCAGTTAGATAAGTTTTCTTTATTTCTGCGTACTTTGCTAATTGATTTTATTCACTTCTAATCAGTTAAACCCTGTTTCTTTAAGTTGTTAACTAAAGGTATGTTAATTCTAATGTAATTAGGGTTGCCAGATACTTTTACAAAAAATACTGAACATGGCAAGGAAAAATTGGTTGAGCAAAAAAAAAGGGAGGGGGGTACCAAAGTTGTTAAGCAAAAAAACAGAAAACAAAACTGCACACACACAAAAAGAGTCACTGCGCCTTTAAATCCCCACACTCCCTGCTCTCTTGCCTCCACCAGACGCAGCAGGGGAGGAATGTCCAAAGAGGCCTTCCAGCCGAAAAAAAACAGAAAATACCGGACATTTTATGTCTGGTATTTTCTGGGTTTTTTACCAAACAGAGGCCGCAAATACTGGATTGTCCCGGCCAATACCAGACACCTGACAACTCTAAATGTAATCAGTCAGATGTACATTATTTATAATTGTTGTTTTGGAATTAAATCCAAATTATTACTGTAATACATTTATTCCTGGAGGCTCCCAAGGCACACCATTTAGTGTGTACAGGGCCAACCAGGCGGAAGCACCACCACTGCATATTCCTTTAGGAGCAAGGGACTGCAGCAAGAGGATGGATAGGGAATCCCCAACTAAAGAACATCACCCTTGGGGTAAGCAGGATCTCCTTTAATGTTAAAGTCATTAGGCATCCAGGCACACAGGTGAGTATGGCTTGCTACTGAGCAATCCAGGTAGGAAAGAGAGGGTTACACCTATTTAATTAATTTTATAGTACTACATTTTATGGTATTTTCTTATTACATTTCTCTGTTCTCTCTATTTAAATTAAGTTGTACAGTTTAGCCTTTGCACTCAAATATTTGTATTATTTTATATGCAGCAAAATGGACAATAATAAAAGGACAAGAATAAGCAATTTAGTATGTTTTGTATCATTAAATGCCAGTTGAATGAACTTTTAATTTGCAATTCATTTGTAAATGTTGTTTAATTCCAACTTGTCTGCTAAACTTCGAGGTACTAATTCAGGTGATTTCTACCCAAGTGGGAATATGCAATGAGTGTATATTCACTGACATAGATAGTTTATTCGTGATAAAGATTTCCATTGAGCAAAGCACTTAAGTACCTGCTTAAGTCCCTGTAGCCCACCAAGGTTCTGGAGGGGCTCCTTCCCCTCGGAGTCAGTGGACAGCCACTCTACCTCACTGCACCAAAGCTCAGTCCTCTTGGAGAATCAGCTGTGCTGAGCTTCGGCCTCAGAGTCCTAAGGCCCAGGCCCTGGTTCAGGGTGAAGCGGAAAACAAACAATTCTTAGAACCAGGCTCTGGGTCAGGGTAGGATAGCAAACAAAGAGCAAATAGTCCAAATTAAGGCAAACACTCTGATCTCCTTGCTCAGGTGGAGGTCTGACAAACACAGACAGTTAGTCTGGAACAACCGAGGGGGAGGAGGGATGCTGTCCCACCCATTCCCCTGCTTCCTAGCCCAGAGCTCTAACAGCAGCAGATCAGTCTGCTGTTCAGTCAGCAGGGATCCTGACCACAACACGCTATCCCCAGCTCTGGCACAGCCAGACTACTCTTGGCTATCCCTGGGCTCCTTCCATTCTCTCTTCTGGCAAACTGGAAATTTGGCTGGAATCTCTGGCAGGGAGAGCAGTTCCTTCAGGCTGTAATCTATTTGTGATCCTGGCAATCTGGGCCAGTCCTCCTCCTCTTTCAGGTCCACCTCCACTTCCCAGCTTGGGAGTGCCAGGCAGCTATCTGGTTCCTCTAGTGGCTGGAGGCTGACTGACCTCCCAGGATGGCCTTCTATAGTTCTAGCCTTGCCTCTTAACTTCTGGTCAAGTGATGCACTGGAGCCAGCCTCTGCCCACCAGGGCTCTGGGAAGGGCTCCTCCTCCTCAAGGTCAATTGGTGGCTACCCCGCCTCACTATAGTCCCATTGACTTTAATGGGTCTTTTGCACATCTCTTTAAGCATGTGCATGTTTTGTTGAATTATAGAGGCAGGACTAAAATTTAGCCAGAATATGAAGCGGTGTTACTGTGATAAACTTTTAGTGCTTTTATCCCAAACATTTGTTCCTTGACCACTCTGATTCACTTGGGGTTTCTCCCTTTACTAAAGACTTCCCTGGGAAAAATACTTCTCAAAATTAGACCCAGAACACCTTTGACTGAGTCTCTCGTGCTCTATGAAGCTGATGTTTTTGCCACTGGAATTCCAGTCTATGTACAATATCTTTTGACTAATTCAAAATCTTTATCTCAGCAAGTAAACTTTTTTAGGGGAAGTGTTCATTTATAATTGGAACCTGGGCAAGGTGTCTCATTATTACTTTGTATTACTTGCAATAGTGGTACCTGGCAACCTAGCACAAGAAATAACCAACTTTCTGCTCCAATTCTGCACACATGAATGCACACATAAATAACTTGGAGACATAAGTAGTGCTGTTGAAATAGAGAATGAACCAAATATAATGCACATTATTCATGTTGGTTAATGCACTAATGGGATGCATTCAAGTCCTAAGATTTCAGGAGGGGAATAAAAAGCTATAGAGAACAGAATAGAGCTACTTGCTTTCCTAGTTGTAATAGGTCTACTCATATCGGTAAAGTTACACATATCTGTAAGTGCTTGCAGTTTCAGAGCCTTGCCTAGCATAAGACAGAAGCACATTACAAAAATAAAATATATGGCCAATGATCAGACTCCTAGTGAAAAATATAATTGATCTGCTGTACTAAGGAGCTTCTTTGTGGAGGCAAGAATTTGCAAAGCTAGTATGTCAGGTAATAACAGTGAAACCACTTTAATCAACTTGAGAAATAAGACCAGATATTCATAGAGCCAATGTGCTAGTAAGCACTAATGGTCTGATCTTCAAAGGTATTTAAGGTATTTCTGTGGACACTCAAAATTCTTAAGCACTTTTGAAAATCTCATGAGGCACGTATCTGCATCATTAGGTGCTTAACACCTTTGTAAATCTGCCCTAAGTTCCTATGCCTTTTGTTTTAAAGGGACAAGCTCTACAGTAACAGTCAAGTCTTCTCTGGGTTGAAGTAGGAGATCTTAATAGGGATGCAGTTCTACTTGTTAAATAGGGCATTTGTTTAATATGCTCTCTACAGTGAACATGCAAATCCCCAGCTCTGGCACAGCCAGACTACTCTTGGCTATCCCTGGGCTCCTTCCATTCTCTCTTCTGGCAAACTGGAAATTTGGCTGGAATCTCTGGCAGGGAGAGCAGTTCCTTCAGGCTGTAATCTATTTGTGATCCTGGCAATCTGGGCCAGTCCTCCTCCTCTTTCAGGTCCACCTCCACTTCCCAGCTTGGGAGTGCCAGGCAGCTATCTGGTTCCTCTAGTGGCTGGAGGCTGACTGACCTCCCAGGATGGCCTTCTATAGTTCTAGCCTTGCCTCTTAACTTCTGGTCAAGTGATGCACTGGAGCCAGCCTCTGCCCACCAGGGCTCTGGGAAGGGCTCCTCCTCCTCAAGGTCAATTGGTGGCTACCCCGCCTCACTATAGTCCCATTGACTTTAATGGGTCTTTTGCACATCTCTTTAAGCATGTGCATGTTTTGTTGAATTATAGAGGCAGGACTAAAATTTAGCCAGAATATGAAGCGGTGTTACTGTGATAAACTTTTAGTGCTTTTATCCCAAACATTTGTTCCTTGACCACTCTGATTCACTTGGGGTTTCTCCCTTTACTAAAGACTTCCCTGGGAAAAATACTTCTCAAAATTAGACCCAGAACACCTTTGACTGAGTCTCTCGTGCTCTATGAAGCTGATGTTTTTGCCACTGGAATTCCAGTCTATGTACAATATCTTTTGACTAATTCAAAATCTTTATCTCAGCAAGTAAACTTTTTTAGGGGAAGTGTTCATTTATAATTGGAACCTGGGCAAGGTGTCTCATTATTACTTTGTATTACTTGCAATAGTGGTACCTGGCAACCTAGCACAAGAAATAACCAACTTTCTGCTCCAATTCTGCACACATGAATGCACACATAAATAACTTGGAGACATAAGTAGTGCTGTTGAAATAGAGAATGAACCAAATATAATGCACATTATTCATGTTGGTTAATGCACTAATGGGATGCATTCAAGTCCTAAGATTTCAGGAGGGGAATAAAAAGCTATAGAGAACAGAATAGAGCTACTTGCTTTCCTAGTTGTAATAGGTCTACTCATATCGGTAAAGTTACACATATCTGTAAGTGCTTGCAGTTTCAGAGCCTTGCCTAGCATAAGACAGAAGCACATTACAAAAATAAAATATATGGCCAATGATCAGACTCCTAGTGAAAAATATAATTGATCTGCTGTACTAAGGAGCTTCTTTGTGGAGGCAAGAATTTGCAAAGCTAGTATGTCAGGTAATAACAGTGAAACCACTTTAATCAACTTGAGAAATAAGACCAGATATTCATAGAGCCAATGTGCTAGTAAGCACTAATGGTCTGATCTTCAAAGGTATTTAAGGTATTTCTGTGGACACTCAAAATTCTTAAGCACTTTTGAAAATCTCATGAGGCACGTATCTGCATCATTAGGTGCTTAACACCTTTGTAAATCTGCCCTAAGTTCCTATGCCTTTTGTTTTAAAGGGACAAGCTCTACAGTAACAGTCAAGTCTTCTCTGGGTTGAAGTAGGAGATCTTAATAGGGATGCAGTTCTACTTGTTAAATAGGGCATTTGTTTAATATGCTCTCTACAGTGAACATGCAATATATGCAGGAAGAGAAGAAGAAGGGAGAGTTTGCCTTTAAAATTCTTTACAATTCATCCTCACAGCCCCATCATTGGCATGTATCAAGCCTTTTTTGCTTGGAGGATTCTGCTGAAGATATCTTGAAGCACAGGGCAATTCTTAAAATATTAAACATTGTTTTAGTTTAATAATTCAGTGACTACAGGATTTAATAATGTGTGTGACTGGAATAATCAATCACCTTTCATAGAATTTAAGTTTTTCCCACCTTATTCCTTTTTAGTAACCAATAAAAGACAAAAGAAACATTTTTTAGTGACTGTTGTTTATGTTAATTACCAATGTAGGGTGTATATCAGGGCTATATCTACATTGGGAAGATTTTGCGCAAATACTCTTTAACACAAGAGTTTTTGCGTTACAGTAATTTCCGCAAGAGAATGTCTACACTGGCATGTGCCTTTGCGCAAAATATGTGCTTTTGTGCAAGAGCATCAGTGCCAGTGTAGATGGTCTCTTGCACAAGAAAGCTCCAATGGCCATTTTAAGCATCGGGCTTTCTTGTGCAAGAAATTCATGTTGCTTGTCTACACTAGCCTCTCGCGCAAGAACAGTTGCACAAGAGGGCTTATTCCTGAGCGGGAGCATCAAAGTTCTTGTGCAAGAAGCCCTGATTTCACACATTAGAATGTCAGTGTTCTTGCACAAGAACTCCCCACCAGTGTAGACAGGCAGCAAGTTTTTGCGCAAAAGCATTTGCTTTTGCACAAAATCATGCCAATGTAGACACAGCCCAGCTGTACAGCCAAGAATTTCACATAGTCCACTGAGTTGTTTTGTACCAAAATTTAAAAATGACAGGATATAGTTCAATGACAGGATTTCTATGTATAAAATGCTAATTCTATTATTGGAGTTGGTAGTTATGGGTCAAAGTAACAAAGTTTGACCACCCCCCCAGAACCAAAATTCCCAAGGTTTATATTTTAATTGAGGCCTATCTGTAATCCTTTGAAAACAAGTCAGGATGATAGTACCATAGTTTTTCAGTTATAAATACGTATTTATCTGGAGAAGCCACAGTTATTTCAAAATGAGAAGTTTTTCAACCTGAAAGAGGAGGAAAATTTGCTGTTGTAAAGTGAAGTATGTAGATGCTTCACTGA